GGGGGGGGGGGGGGGGAGGAGGGAGGGAGGTTTCGGTAATGGGCCACAATAATCAACCTCATTGTATATCGACAAAATAAAATTAAGGAAAAAAAAATAGTCTAGGTTTAATGTTAGGAGGACACAGTATCAGTCATGGGATCACAAAGAAATTAATTTAAGAAACATTATGACTTTGTGACTGTGGAAGAAGAGGAATAGTCAAGAATTGCTCAAATTTCAAACCTGGAAGAGTGATTGTACTGAAAGCATATTTAGGTGAGGAACCTTTTTTCCTTTTTCTGGGATTTTTATTTTTACATAAACAACATTATAACAATAAAGGGGGAAACATCACTCCCTGATCTTGCCATCCAAAAATATCATCTTTTAAGAATACTATAAACATTTTCCATGTTACCACACTATTCACAATTATGATCTTTAATTGTTACATATATTCCATCAAGTTGATCTAGTAAATTTTATGTAAACATTCCTTCTAGATTGTTCTCAGTTTTTAACTATTATAAATAAAGCTAAAATGAGGCCCTCTGTAATAGCTAATGTTTATACAGTGCTTGCCATGTACTGCTACTCTTATAAGTGTTTTTTATAATAACTCACGTAATCCGTACAACAACCTATAAATTAGGTACTCTTATAGTCCCTATTTTTCAGATCAAAAAAACAAAGCACAGAGAGGTTAAGTAATTTGCCCAAGATCACACAGTGAATGGCAAAAGTGGAATTTAAATCCAGGAAATTTGGCTCCATAGTACACATAGTTGGGGTTTTTTCCTTCAGAATTTTTTTTTTCCCTTAGGACAAATTTGCAAGAATGGGAATATTAGGGCAAAAAGTACAAACTTTTTTATGACAGTAAGTATTATTAATCAACTTAGGTAAGGTGTTTGGGTGAAACATGAGGAGCTCAGTATAAGCCAACATGTTAAATTTTATATGAAAGTAGTATATTTAAGAGGAGATTTCACAACAGGAATTGGGACATGGGCCAAGTACTTAAAGGCTTAGGGGCTAGGGATGGAAAAAGATCTGGAGTCATGATCATAAAGGTGACAGGGAGGTCATAAAAGTAGATCAGACTCCTGAGGGAGAAAATGTGGAGTGAGAAAATGAGAGGATCAGTGAGAGCCTTGGGGCACGCCCACTTTTAGGAGGATGTAGAGTTAGAGGAGTCTGAGACTCAACCTGGGGATCACCAGGTTGGGGACAGAATGAAAAAGAAAGTTTCAGTGGAAAGAGGTTGAGCAAGAGGATCAAAGGAAACAGAGGGCTGGCTGGTGAGCTCAGTTGGTTAGAGCATGGTGCTGATAAAACCAAGGTCCGAGGTTTGGATCCCTGTACCAGCCAGCCACGAGAGAGAGAGAGAGAGAGAGAGACACAGAGAGAGAGAGAGAGAGAAGAAAAGTGAGTTAAGGGCCGGCCTGTGGCTCACTCGGTAGAGTGCGGTGCTGATAACACCAAGGCCGCGGGTTCGGATCCTATATAGGGATGGCCGGTTTGCTCACTGGCTGAGCGTGGTGCTGACAACACCAAGCCAAGGGTTGAGATCCCCTTACCGGTCATCTTTTAAAAAAAAAAGAAAAAAAGAAAAGTGAGTTAAAAACTCCAAAAAGGCCACTCAATTTGACAACTAGAAGATCACTGATGATAGTACCTAGTATGGAAAAAAAACAAAAGTAGGATGTTTGATGTACAGGACAGTAGTGAAAAGATGGGTAATGGGGCTAAGATTAAATAGATGAGGAAAGAGTAAAAAGACAAAGGGGTACTCAGCACAATACACTTAAGGGAATCCAAGGAATTATATTTCACCAGAGAGAGTATGCTTGTAGACCTATTTTGTGTTCTTAATGATCCTAGCTAATGGAAGGGAATAACAGCATGCATAATCCTCAAATAACTTCTATTTGGTTTTGGAATACATTAGAGGAAAATTTCTTTGGCAGGAGAATTTTCTATTTATATTTTGCTTGGGGTACTATATAACTCTTAAGTACTTTCAGGACTCTGTCTGGCATCAGACCCTTAGACTCCTTTCTTATTACTATGAAAACTATCTACAAGTGTGTATTCCCAAGTGCACACCTGGGAGGAGGAAAAGGGTAATTTCGGAGCAGTTTGGAGATACTGGATAGCAGGGGGTAACTGGCCGGTAATTGAAAGGCCAGCATGAGTAACAACTAAAACAAACAGACCATATATAGATAACCAAAGGGTAATTACATTAAGATTCTTTTTTTTTGTAGTTACTTTGTAGCAACTGAGCCAGCTCCCAGGATAGGAAAGTTGAAGGCTCTGTCTTCAGAGCCATCAGAGATAGGACATCATCATTTCAAAAGTTCAATAATAACGGGCCGGCCTGTGGCTCACTCGGGAGAGTGCGGTGCTCATAACACCAAGGCCACAGGTTCGGATCCCATATAGGGATGGCCGGTTGGCTCGCTGGGTGAGCATGGTGCTGACAACACCAAGTCAAGGGTTAAGATCCCCTTACCGGTCATCTTTAAAAAAAAAAAAAAAAAAAAAAAAGTTCAATAATAAAAAGCAACATAAGTTAAGTGCCCCCATGAATGGCATTGAAACTAAAAGTAAAATAGAATCACAGTAGGCTAAGGTAGATGGAGAAGGTTTTCTTCCTGGAAGAGAGAGGACTTGAAGTAGACTGTGAATGATAGGTAAAAGGGTTAAGCCAAGATGAAGGAAGGGACATGTCTGACTTCAGGAATGTGTGAAGAAAAGACATGGGAACAATGAATCCCAGTAAAAATTGTGTGTTTTTAAAGGATTTAAATGGCCATTGAATAAAACTACTTGAAAAGAGAAATGGGGCCAAGCCCGTGGCGCACTCGGGAGAGTGCAGTGCTGGGAGCGCCGCAGCGCTCCCGCCGCGGGTTCGGATCCTATGTAGGGATGACCAGTGCACTCACAGCGCTCACTGGCTGAGCGCGGTGCGGCCAGTCTCAAAAAGGACAAAAAAAAAAAAAAAAGAAAAGAAAAGAGAAATGTTTTCCCCTGAGCATTTCCTTAACCTGAGACCTGTGAATGACTCATGGTGTGACATGAAGGTGACTGCAAAATGTAGAAAAGGTTTGATTGAAATTTATAGATACTAGATACAAATCAAACTAGGACCAAGTCTGCAAACATAAAGCTGCTAACCAAATCCCAAAGAGATGCAAACACTGAGATTCCTCTCAGTTAAAACATTTTATTAATATATGTATAATATATTATTAATAACAGCAGCAGCCACCACATATTGAGTACCTACTAAATTCCAGGTACTTTGCTACATCTGGTGCATACATGTTTCTATTGTCACAACAGTCACATATCCCCCACTTTACAGATAGGGAAACTGAGGCTCAGAGAAGGTCTATCTAGCACCAAAGGCCAACTTATTTTTTGTTACACATACTACCTTTCTACTAAAACAAGGTCCTTTCCTGTTAGTAAATAAAACAAAACACCAACCTGTTCTGAAGTAGATAAGGGAAGAGGCAAGGACCCTAATTCCTTCAGCAGTTCATTTGTTTCCTTGGCGAGCTGATTTGTGGAGTGTTGTAACTGTTGCCTAAGAGAGAAAAGATATGTTTCAGGATGTTGTCACTTCTTGAGAGCTGGTTATACTCAGTGTCACTTTATTCTCAGAGTGTGTCACAATGCAGGGAATGAAGGGCCATTTGAAGAAATGGGCCCTGGATGCCCAGGTTCACAACAAAACCTCAAGCAAGCTCACTTCAAGTCACCTTCACATTACTGAGAAGAAAGAACCTGCCTCAATTACACCTGCTGGAGGAAGCACAGATCAGGAATTTTAACTCTTTGGGGAGAAAAGAAAAGCATATTAGCAGTTCTGATAGAAATATAAGAAGAGCAATTGCCATCCACACCTAAATCTAATAGTTTTAACATATTGAAATCTCTTATAAAATTCTCACATTGTATTGCCCAGGAGTCCTGCAAGGTGATTGTCTGTCACAGTCCACTGACTAGAATCCAGGCATGGGTGGTTGAATGAAATGTGCATTAAAAGCATAGCTTCCTACCTACCCTAGGGAACAACCTCTAAAGATCTATTCCCACATTCTTGCTTAAAGGTGATTCTTTTTCGGCTTTATTCTTGGCTCCTTAGTTGCTTTTTATACCTGACTTTCTGGCATTTCCCTCCAAAATAAAGAAGGCTGTGTTGTTTAAAAATACATAAAGAGGGCCGGCCCGGTGGCGCACTGCTACAGTGCGCCGCTTGGGAGTGCGGCGGCGCTCCCGCCGAGGGTTCGGATCCCACATACAGACCGGTTCCCGCTTACTGGCTGAGCGAGGTGTGGGCGCAACACCGAGGGTTGCGATCCCGTTGCCGGTCCCGGTCTGGTATGGGCGCAACACTGAGGGTTGCGATCCGTTGCCGGACACGAAAAAAGACAAAAAGGAAAAAAAAAATACATAAAGAGTAGGGAGGGAAGGCAATTAAAGAGGGAAGAATATGTAATATATTAAGTGGGATTGGAAAGTAGTGGAAATTTAAACAGAGCTCCTTTCATGCATGATTTCCTCTACTCTCTGGCATTTCTGTAAAGTTTTTAAGGGAGAACAGAAACCACATGCTATGGTCTAAATGTTTGTGTCCCCCCAAAACTTATATGTTGAAATCCTAACCTCCAATGTGATGATATTAGAAGGTGGGGTCATTTTGGAGGTGATTAGATCATGAGGGTGGAGCTCTCATAAATGGAATTAGTACCCTAATAAAAGAGGTCCCAGAGAACTGCCTTGCCTCTTCCAAGTGAGTACACAGCAAGAAGGTGCCATCTATGAAAAAGTGGGCCCTCACCAGACACTATATCTACCAGTGCCTCCAGTACTATGAGGAATAAGTTTTTATTTATAAACTACCCGGTTTATGATATTTTGTTATAGCAGCCCAAAAGGACTGAGACAACACATTAGTGTTTTTTTCACTGCAAATGGGCTTTCAGGATAAAAAATAAGAGGGAGTCTATCAGGAGCCTGAACATCCCAGGGAATACTAAAATATCCAGAGATATTTCATATCTATCTCATATGCTCACAGTAATAACAGTTATTCTCTCACTTCACAATGTCTAGGACAGAAAACAATGATGATTGCTCAGTATATTTTAAAAATGAAGAATAGAACTTCTAAGAGCAGAAGTGGAGTCAAGGAGGATATGATAAGAATCAAGATTCCCTCCTACCAGCCCATTATTCTTTCCTTCAGTCTCCCTTTGGGTGATTCTGAATACATTTTTCTAATATTATATATAGTTGGATATCCAACTAGACTAGATCATCAAGAGTCCTGTGCCAACAAGGAGGCTCATTCAGGCAAAGTAGCGAGCAGAATATAGTTTAAGAGTGGTAGGAATTCCCTTCTCTACTTCCCTAAATTGTTCTGTTAAACTGCCCAAGGGAAGAAAGAATGAGAGTTCAAGGACTCTGAGAAGAATGGAGATGACAATCCATTAATATATATATTTTGTTGCCCCTCTTCTAGATCCAACTATTGAAGTATGTCCTTAACAGGCCCTCACAAAACCCAACCTTGTTAAGAAACTACTCACAGATTTTCCTGTAGCTTGCTTGAGTCCTGCTTCGTTCCTAGTTGGCTCATCAAATTCTTTATCTGAGCAGCTGGAGAGAGGGGGGGAAAAATTTATTTAAAAGAAAAATACATTCATCATGAGCACCCTACTTCTCAGCTCACTGGTCTCTCCATATCCTGAATAAGTACATGCAACTAATAGAAAACATGCTATGAACAAAACCTTGGCATATGTGTTCTTCCAAAAACTAATTACAAGGTTCACTTTTCTCCTATAGAGTAACTATGACACTAAGAACAAGGTGGTTTTGTTTGTCATCCCCAAAGAATTTGCTAATTTTTCCAGGTATCCCATGGCACTGGTTAGAAATTTCATTACCTTTGGAAGAGCCTTGATACCAAATATCAATTGCAACAATAAAAAATTTAAATTCATTAATACACAATAATTTTTCTATAGCAGCCATTTTTGGAAAACAGTGTACACTTATCTTAATGATACATTACCACTGACTGAGTACCTCTGTGTGCCAGACACTACACTAGGAGCTTTGTATACATTCTCTTATTAATTTTCACAGCAACAGTCTGAAGTAGATATATCTTCATTTTGCACATGAGAAAATACATTTAGAGAGGTAAAGTATCTTATATAAGCATACAAAATTAATAAATAGCAGGGCAAAAATTCAATCCAAGGTACATCAGACTCTGATGGCTGTGTTCTTCCAACTGTGCTGTCTGTACTGTGATATAGTCAAACACACAATTTTGTTGAGCATGCTCTATCTTTTCCTAGATATTTTAAGACTAGGAATGGTCATGTTTGAATCCTGGACATTTAAACCCCTAGCCTGGACCAGGAAAGCAGAGGTCCAGAGGAAATAAAAAGGAATAATACTCTGACACCAGCTTGCCTGGGAATCTGAACACCCCTGTCCCTCACTGACTTCTGCAACAGGAATAGAACTCTTGATTTCTTTTTGCCTTGCTTTCCATTTTCTTTTTCTGGCTGGTGGGAAGAGTGGGGGAGATTTATTCATTCACAGAGGTAGGAAGTTGTTGTGTGATTTCTTGTTTGCTTGCTTGCTTTTTATGAGCATTCATTGTCTTCTATTATAGGTAGCTGGAGTACAGGACACATTAATAGAGCATTCTTCACCCAGAAGAAACACACTTATCTTCAAGTTTCAATAGAACTTCACGAAAGATATATGGCTCCTCCAGCCAAAAGACAGTCTCCTTTGTGAGAGCCTTTCCTGTCCTCTGGATTAGTGTCAAAGTTTCACTTGTGAAACACCAGACTGGTAAATGACTGGGTTAGTGGATGAAGATGAGGAAATCAATGTGTATTGTACAATTTGTGAATATTATAGGGACACTGTACATAAAATGCTTCCATGTCCAGTAAGAAAAAAAAATCTGACTTATTAGAATTTTGAAACTTAAAAATTAATTGTTCCAAATTCACTTAATGGTAATGGTGTTCTTTTTTTTTTTTTTTTTTTTAAAAATGACTGGTAAGGGGATCTTAACCCTTGACTTGGTGTTGTCAGCCCCACACTCCCCCAGTGAGCCAACCAGCCATCCCTATATGGGATCCAAGCCCGGGGCCTTGGTGTTATCAGCACCGCACTCTCCCGAGTGAGCCACAGGCCGGCCCAGTAATGGTGTTCTTTTTTTTGTTTTTTTAAAGATGACTGGTAAGGGGATCTTAACCCTTGACTTGGTGTTGTCAGCCCCACACTCCCCCAGTGAGCCAACCAGCCATCCCTATATGGGATCCAAGCCCGGGGCCTTGGTGTTATCAGCACCGCACTCTCCCGAGTGAGCCACAGGCCGGCCCAGTAATGGTGTTCTTTTTTTTGTTTTTTTAAAGATGACTGGTAAGGGGATCTTAACCCTTGACTTGGTGTTGTCAGCCCCACACTCCCCCAGTGAGCCAACCAGCCATCCCTATATGGGATCCAAGCCCGGGGCCTTGGTGTTATCAGCACCGCACTCTCCCGAGTGAGCCACAGGCCGGCCCAGTAATGGTGTTCTTTAAATTAACAAAATTTGGAAGTCACAGTCATAATCTTGTCCCCAATTTGGTCACCAAAAGTAGTAAAAATGCAATCTAAAGTTTATTAAGTACCTTATAATAACAATGATGTGCTAAAATAGTCCATAAGTCTGATAAGAAGCAATAATTAGGCAAAAATCTTCTGATTACTGGGTGACTCTACTCTACTCATTCAATGCAGAAATGAACAACCCAGTCCTTAGCCATATGTACAAGTTATTTTTCCCTAGCCAAAATCACTGCATCATGTAAAAATTTCCAGAGTCAAAGATATATAGGTTTGTGGCACTTCAGATTATGAGTTCACCTTATTTTAAGACCTAGCAAATATGGAACTCCAGGGGCTGTCTGGTTAGCTCACTTGGTTAGAGCATGATGCTGGTAACACCAAGCACCAAGGTCAAGAGTTCAGATCCCCTTACTGGCCAGCTGCCCCCCCCCAAAAAAAAAGAGGAACTCCAATTTCATAATTGAAATATAGGATTCACTTGATTAGAAATTTGCCTTTTGGGCCGGCCCGTGGCTCACTCGGTAGAGTGCGGTGCTGATAACACCAAGGCCCCGGGTTCGGATCCCATATAGGGATGGCCGGTTCGCTCACTGGCTGAGCGTGGTGCTGACAACACCAAGCCAAGGGTTGAGATCCCCCTACCGGTCATCTTTTTAAAAAAAGAAAAAAGAAATTTGCCTTTTGACAAAACTTCCTTAAAATATATCTATTCTGTTAATTGAGGGTTACTTAGAGCTTAATGGTTCCATAAGAAAATGTAAGCACTATAATTACTGCATTCTGCCAAGGTAGCATTATGTAAGATATAAATAACCTTTTTTCTTTATCACTAACATGTGGACTGTCCTTATCTAAGTCAAATGGAAATCAAGATACCACTAAAACTACCAACTGGACAACATTAAATATAAATTATAAAACAGGGCAGGCATTAACATTTACTGAGCATTTTACAATGGGCTAGGTGCTTGATAAGCATTACCTTATTTGACCCCAGCAATTCTTTAAGTATTATTATCCTGGTATTGTGTATGGGCACACTGAACCTCATGAGAATTATGGAACTCATTCATTCATTTTGAGTAGAGTACATATTCTACACTGTTCTATGCACTAGAAAACACTTGTTTTCAAGAAGCTTACATTCTAAGGAAAATAGATAAACATATATCAGGGGATGATAAATAGTATAAAGAAAAATAAATTCAGGTAAGGACTGGAATGACAGCGGTGGGCAGAGGGTACTAGTTTATATATGGTAGTCAGAGAGTCTTCTCTGATAAGGTGACACTGAGCGTAGATCTAAAGGAAGTGAAAGATAAAGCCATGCAGCAATCTGGAGGAGAAGCACTCTAAGCAGAGAGTAATTAGTACAAAGTCCCCACGGCAAGAGTGCTTGGTGTGATTGAGGAACAGCAAGGAGGCCAGGCTGGCTAGAGCAGAGTGAGCAAGAGAGATAAATGGCCAAAGCAGTAATGGAGAGCCAGATTATATGGGACTTTGTAAATAATTATAAGGACTTTGAGTTTTAATGAAATGTGAAGCCACTGATGGGTTTTGAGCAGAGTGTCATAATAACAAGAATTCAAACCCGGGGCTACTTCCAGTGGCTATATTCTTGTGCCACATTATGTTCTCTCAAAAGTCCATCTCTTAAAGGAAATAGAATGTAGTCACACGGGGCAGGCCTAGATTTCCCAGTGTTCCATTTAACCCCACCCTACTTATCTGATACCTCCCTAACTAAATAGCTCTCTGTGCCATATAGGCTGATGTCCTTGCTCTAACCTATTCCCTTTCCCAATTCACTTCCACCTGTGGAAATATTCCTCTGTACTCACCAGAGTCCAGCAGAGCGCCAGGCACCCAGTGGGAACAAAAATAATTATTGATTAATAATTACTGATTAATTGAGTCAGCTTCTCTTTACATCATGGCATGGCACTTTTTTTTTAAAGATGACTGGTAAGGGGATCTTAACCCTTGACTTGGTGTTGTCAGCACCACGCTCACCCAGTGAGCTAACCAGCCATCCCTGTATGGGATCCGAACCTGTGGCCTTGTTGTTATCAGCACCACATGCCGGCCCCAGCATGGCACTCTTTTTAAGGCAGAAGATATGAATGAATATAAGCTAGGAATAATGAGACCTAATCTTAGCCAGACTTGACCACTAACTAGATGTATGGCACTAGGCAAGTGATTTCATTTTGCTAGGTCTCTTTTTCGCCAATTGTAGATAATATTCAGATTTAACTAACACTTATTGACTACTTACTATTTGTGTGGGGTTTTTATTTTCTCTCATTAGATCTTTACAATTATGTGAGGACTAAATGATAAGTACTCCCACCATTGCTCAATTCTAAAATTCAGTAATAATGAAATAGCTCTAGTCCCAGAATGATGCTGTGTAACCAAGGAGTTTTTTTGCAGCCTAAAAGTTTGGCATAGAGAAGCTCCACCTGTGACTTTCTTAACTTTGTAACTGCAAGGTACAAATGGGACTGGACTGATTATATGCCTCTAGAGGGCAGGGACTGCATTCTACTCATTTTTGTATGTGGACAACCACCATGCCCTACACACACACCTCCAGTAAATAGTTGTTTGAATATATGGTTACACGTAAAGGTAGATCCAACAAAAAAGTCAAAGAAGTAGAACTCTTCTTAGAGGTATGTCAGAGTATCAAGTTATTAATCATCTATCAAAATGTATTAACTACCCTAGAGAGCCATGGGAATTTTATAGAATATGGAAAAAATCAATTTATAATCTGTTCTTCTCTGTGTATTCTCAGCTGAGAACTTTTCTGTTTTCTTCCAGACTTTTATCTAGACTTTTCTGATTTTCTTTGTTGAGATGAACCGAATTTGTGGAGTGGCGGTAGAGGGGGTTGGGGGAATTGGGGGG